CGGTCCCAGGAAACGGCAGGCAGGCCTGGCCACTGGGGGCCAAGCCGCGCCGTGCCGCGCCTGCCCCCCTCCCGCCCGCCGCGCCCGGCCCAGCTCTGACCTCGGGTCTCAGACACGCTCGCCGCGGGCAGAGAAACGGCCGCAGGGTCCTGGGGCTCGCTCGCCAGCCTCTGCCCGGCGCACATGGACTTGAGCATCTGGAACACGGCAAGGGGAGCCACGTTCAGCTTGAGCAGGTCCACCAAGATCCTGGCGAGAACAAACGCGCGCAGTGAGCCCTCCGCGCCGCGGACCCGACTAGGGCGGCAGGCTCTTCCAGACCCGCGTGCCCGGGCGGGGGTCCGAGGCCCGACGAGCGCGACGCCCCCGACCCGCGCCCGCTCACTTGAACACGTCGGGGTCGATGGCGCCGCCCGCCGCTTGCGCCAGTTCGTACAGCTCCATCTCCTCGGCGCTCAGCACCTTCTTGCGCCGCAGAGCGAGCTTCTGTCGGGTCGCCTCCAGCCCCGGGGGCGCCCCCGGCCCAGACCCGGCGCCCGCTGCCGCCATCCGCGCGCCCCGCCCCGCCGGGCGCTCCCAAAGCGCCCCCCACCGGTCCCGGCGCCCTGTCCACGCCGTCATCCGACCCCCTGACGTTTACTGAGCGCCCACCGTGCGCTAGGCGGCGTGCTGGGCGTCGCGGGCGCCGTGGCGGACGCAGAGGCCCGCTGCTCGGCGGTCAGGGCTTCCCTCATGGGCTGCACTGGTCGTGCTGGCTTAGGGAGCAGCACCCAGCGCATTGCCAGGCACACACCAGGCACTCCATAAATGGCCGCCGAAGACAAGCGTTCACCGCAATACCGCTGTGTTCTGCGCCGTTTCGCCACCAGAGGGCACTCATCGAGGGCCCTAGGCAACAGCTTCCGCTTTTGCGTACGCACACTCCTCGCCGTGGATTAAGTACGTGAGCACAGCCATACGGGGCGCGGATGCCGCCAGTACGCACGCGCATTCAGCGACGGACCATTCGCCTCACCCCCAAACCCCGGGCGCCCTTCGCTTGGCGCACGCGCTTTTGAGGTAGCATCGCAAAGAGGTAGGGCGCTTTTCCCGCCGGGCCAGGGGGCGTGACGCCAGACGCAGCTTGATGACGACATTTCGGCGCCGGGTGGCCGAATGGCGGTTTCCATCCCTGAGGCGGGCGGCGCTATGGGTCCCTCAGGTGGGTAGCGGGAGGCGCGCGCGGGACAGCCCCGCTCTCCAGCGGCTTCCGCGAGCCTCGGAACTCGGGCGGGGAGGTGAGAGTCCCGGCTGAGCCCTCTCGCCACCCTCCCAGGCTGCGCCTCTATCTCACCTTCCCGCGCAGCTCGCTGGCCCGTCCGGTAGGAGCTCGGTTAACGTTCGCTGAGCGAGTCGAGGGAAGGACAGCGCCGAGTTAAGGTCGACCTTCAGGCTCAACAAGCGGCGCGGAAGAGGCGGGTGGGAGTCCTGGCTCGACTTCGCCCCCTGTGTGGCCAAGCTTCTCTGAGCCTCAGTTTCCTCATCTGCAGTAGGGGCTCCCGACAGCCACTAAACAAGACAATTATGAGTGACAACCGGGCATGCTGCTGGTTCTCACGGAGCAGCCAGAGGCAGGCCCCGGCGGTGACACCGTTTCCTCGGCATGATCGGTGTTGCCTGAGGGCCGCGGTTCCCAGAGGAAACCTTAGGGTCCGGAGCAGCTCCTGAAGAAAGAGGCTGTTGAAGGAAGGGGATGGAGGGGACGCTTGGTGCACAGCCCGGGGAGGGGTGTGATGGGGGAGTGTCGCCGTGGCAGGGTCAGAGGGGTGTGGAGACACTGCCCTCTCTCAGAAACCCCAGTTAGACGCCTCTGGGCCTCACTGGGCCGCTGCCTATGGAAGCTTCCTCCGAGCAAAGATGCTTTCGCTCCATCGCTCTAAA